CACGGGGCCCCCAATAGGGACCTGGCCCACAACCCAGGCATGTGCCCTGACTGAGAATCGAACTGGCGACCCTTTGGTTCAAAGCCTGTGCTCAATCCGCTGAGCTACACCAACCAGGGCTAAACTGAATTTTTTAAATGGACAAGTTAAACATTTAACAGTTCTTCAATAAAGCTGTTTTAATGTACGTTTTTACTTAAATGTGGTTCTAAACATATTTCTATACCTTATGAGTCAGCTGACAGCTTTCAATGGAATAAAATACTACAACACACTGTCAGGTTTCTACGTATCTTCACAGAATCTCCACCTTCAGCTGAGGAACAAATCAATAGATAATAGCAGCTAGTGTTTATTGAATCTTTCCCATGTGCCAATGGTATGATACGACTCCCCTCACACTGGTCTGTCTCTGCCAAATCCTTCTGGATTTAATTGTTAAAGATCACCTCCGGCAACCCAACTCTCTCCCTAACTTTCTTTTGAAACTATTGTAACAAACTGCCTTCCTGAAGCACTGACAAGATGGTGAACGTGGAGCGGAAAAGAAAGCAATCCTTCCGGAAGTCTACCTCCAGCAACGTGGATGCCCGCCGGCCGCTAGGCGTGGCCTACGAGCACCGGAAGAGCACCAGAAGCACGGCGCTGTGCAGCGGGTGGCGGCTGAACCCTGGCCCGAAAACCAGATGACACTCAATGACACTCAATGCAGAAGCGCCAGAAGGAAGCCGCAATTGCAGAAGACCCAACGCAAGAGAGGGAAGGGGCACTACCCAAGGAGAAATCCAACATGATAAAGACGCATCAAAAGGTCATGATCCCCCCGCCCAAGATGGCGGGCAACATGGTGGCTGTCTACCACAGCAAGACTTTCAACCAAGTGGAAATCAAGCTTGAGATGATTAATGGGCCACTACCTGGACGAGTTCTCTTATCATCTAAAAGCCTGTGAAGCACTGACGCCAGGCACCTAGACCACCCACTTCTCCAGCTTCATCCCCTGAAATAGCCAATAAACAAAAACATCTCTTTTTAAAAATTCATTTTCATAAAATAAGTCTGCTTAAGATGATTCTATTAAAAGTGTATTTGTAATCATCTAGCAAATCCATTCCTAGGATATACCCAGAAAAAATAAAAACATATCACACAGCCCTGGCTGGTGTGGCTCAGTGGACTGAGCGCCAGACTGTCAAGCAAACGGTTACCAGATTGATTCCCAGTCAGGGCACATGCCTGGGTTGTGGGCCAGTTGGGGGCACACAAGAGGCAACCACACACTGATGTGTCTCTTTCTCCCTCCCTTCCCCTCGCTCTAAAAATAAGTAAATAAATATTTAAAACACAGACACGAACATCACACAGGCAAAAAACCTACATACCAATGTCTGCAGCAGCAAAACATTGTTAAGTAGAAGCCATATATTGTATGATTCCATTTATCTAAAATGTGCAGCTCTTCTGAGAGCTTCTGAGACACACCAACACAGAATGAAAGTAGGGGTTGTCAGGGGATGGGAGTGGGAGAGAGCAAACAGGAAGTGACTGCTATGGTATGGATTTCTTTTAGGGATGATAAAAATGTTCTGACGTGAGGTAGTAGTGATAGTTACACAATTTTGTGAATATATTGAAAAACCACTTTAAAAAGTGAATTTTATGGTAGGTATATTTCAATAAAAGTTTTTTAAATGGAATTTTCATTAAATATTGCTTGAAAAGTATCCAGCAATTTAGATGTTCAGTACGTTAGCTATTACTATTACTGATTTTTAATCATTCAGCAATCAAAAAATACTTGAGTAATAGAATATCTAAAAATATTACATATAAAATAAAGACATACAAAATAATTTGATACAGACCAGTATAAAAAAGAAAATGTTACAGTTACATGCCTTTTAATTCTTTCTGTATGATTTTATTTTTGATATTTAGAAGTGTAAGTTGTTTTTTAAAATTTTCTGCCTTTGGAGGCTCATCATTTTAAAGAATCAGAAGCATGAAAAAAAATTAGAAGAATGAGGGTCAGTGCTAAATTATGAACTTGAGCTTATCATTGCCATAAGCAAACTTTCAAAGAGAAGAGAGACCAGACCAAGGTAAGCAATAGAACTCTGGGAAGACTTCTCCTGGGAAGCTCTCTCTCAAGTGGGACTGGAGCCTGGCTAAAGAACAAGGAGGGAGGAAACTGTTCAATGTAAAGAGGGTATCTGCAGCAGGGCTTGTCCTGTCTGTGTCACCCACATTACCAGTCCCCCACCATTACCAGCACCTTCTCACCCCCTGCATCCCACCTGATAGGACCTGCCATCACAGGGAGGATACAGGGTCCTGAGGAGTGAGCAAAAAAGGACATAACAAGACATTCAAGATCCTGGCCCTAACATCTCCAATCCTGCTGCACCAAAACATTTCAATACACAGCTTCATTTCCAAATACACACCAAAAAAGTACATAAGGATGAACATAAGGCTATTTCTTACTGCATACTTCAGACACACCTACCTGCTCTCAAGATCATGTTGCCCAACTTTTCAATAACTCTTTGGGGCCCTCATTTTCTTTCTTTTAATTCTCATATTTAACTTCTTCAGGTACTAATACCTGAAGACATGTTTCATTAATTTCCCTTCTATTGCTACTGAAAGCACAACCACTTTTACAGAGGCATATGTAATGCATTTCTCTTTCTGTCTACACTTCTGATGTTGTTGAGGCCTGGAGAACTTTACATCAACAATTATATCACCTTCAAAGTATTCAAAAGATGGATACATCTATTATTTCTTATATTAAGAAATTATTACAATAGTACTTAAACCAACATTCTAGTCTACAAATATTAATCTAAATTACCAATGAAGTATATTCATCTTTAAGCCCTGACAGTACAGAACTCAAATCTACCAATCATATTGCTTCATGTGCTTTCAGAATATCTTAAACCAACCCTAAAATGTGTTTCTTTCCAAAGCACACACATACACACACTGACCTGACAGCCTTCTTCCCAGCCTTTATTGTCTGGAAATACAGACAAAAAAACAAAACAAAATAGTCCTAAATATTATTTGCAAGGCCTTCAAAGAGAAGTTAACCTTAGCTGAACAGCCCTCCAAAAATGCCTTGGGATAGTGTAATTCATTCTCTGTGGGTCTTTCAATTCTGGACTCTTGGTAGAGGACCACATGGGATGTTTTCAAGTAAAAACAGTAACTATGAAAGATGTACTGACATCAAGTTGGCAAGAAATGAGAAGTGCCTTAGTCCCCTCTACATACAAGACATAAATACTGTACACTTAATTCATTCCCTTCATTGCCAGCAAATCCCCACCCACTCAAGGCAGGTGGATGGTTCTTACTCTCAGGCAATATAAGTTACTTGTTTTCATTTGCTGTTAGGACAATCTAAATAGGATTCTAGCTGATTTAATACTCATACCCCTCCAATAAGTATTTAAGCATTTATAGAAAAGAAAAAGTTTAAATTTATTTAACCACTTCTACTACCCTAGTCTTTTTTAAAAAAGTGACACACACCTTACTTTCTTAACATCTTATTTCTTCATACACTTTACTGTGTAAATGCTCTCAAAAATGTATTCTTGCCCTGGCTGGTGTAGCTCAGTGGATTGAGCATGGGCCTGTGAAGCAAAGGGTCGCCGGTTTGATTCCCAGTCAGGGCACATGCCTGGGTTGCAGGCCAGGTTCCCAGTAGGGGACACATGAGAGGCGGCCACGCATTGATGTTTCTCTCCCACTCTTTCTCCTTCCCTTCCCCTCTCTCTAAAAATAAATAAAATATTTTTTAAAAATGTATTCTTATTTAGTTAATCCAGATTAACAAACAGAAACAAAAAATCTTGTGGGTTACTGCTACAAAGTATGCGTTTTTCACAAGTTACTTAAATGTAACTACGTATTTAATACAATGGAGCAAGTGTGTGCTTGAAAGAAAAAAAATACACCAGCCTAGAAAAACTTTCTGTGAGAAAATAAGAATCACTATGAAGAAATTCATTGCAGATCTAGAAAGACTTTTATTCTTCAAAATGAGATAAGAAGAAAAAGTCATTTTTTATTAAATCCCCTACAGGTTTGCTGTGTGACTCAGAAGTTGGTCCCAAAGTTCATCTTCAGCAATTACGTTTGCATGATCAACTGTACGTCTCCTGCAACAGGTGACAGGAAACTGCGTTTCTCAGGCAAAGCAAAGGGATCAAATCGGTAAGACGCATGTTCCTACGATTTCTTACTTTTATTTTGGATTTTACCAAAATGACAGTGAATCGGATGGATTACCATGTTTGTTCTGGTTTTGTTTAGTTTTCTGCTTTGCCTTTTAACCAGCCATTCACCAGCAACTATGGCACGAGCCCATAAGCACTCGAGAATAAAAACAAACACAGGACCAGATAAGGTTCCCCCACTAACCCAAACTGATCCATTTCCTCAACATAACTCTGAAACCATAGGGCTGGGGGGGCGGGGGGAGGGCGAGAAGCCTGTGTGTGTGCCACAACCTGTCCAAAACCTCAATTCCCTTTAACGGACGGATATATAATAAAAATCTAAAATAAACTACATTAGAAATGCAAAGAGGTCTACAAAACAAGAGGCTTCTTTCATTCCAAAAAACCAAACCAATACAAGGGGAGAAATTGAATGCAGTAGATACGTGTGCCAAAGTTTCGATCCTGCCATACTTACGGAGACCCTCCACTGGCACAATTATTCAAGAGGAAAATGAGGGGGTTGGGGCAGAGAAAGAGAGCGAGCGAGTGTGTGGCCTGCAAACTGCAACAATGCAATCTCCATTTTGAACAATGCGCCTCTTTCCTCTGGTAAATCTAGTTTTTTGTCACTTGAAGTGCCGTCGCGTTTCCCCACGGCTGGGGCGAAGTGGGGGTGGGGAGACCAGAAAGGGAGTGAGCGTGTGGGGGAGGGCAGAGGCGGTGGGGAAAGAGTCCGCAGCGACTGGGCTGGGTGGGTACCTGGAGTGCTGCTATAGGTGCTATGGCTCCTGAAGCTGCTTTCCGTGCAGTAACTGGCGTCGTCGGCGTCGTCTTCCATCTCCTCCGGATAATCGGAGTCATCATCGTCCTCTTCCATCTCATCTTCCTCGTCCTCCTCGGAATCCTGGGTCTCCTCCGCTTCAGCGTCCTCCTCCTCCTCGGAGACCATGTCCTCCTCCTCCTCCTCCTCCTCGCTCTCGTGGTCATCGTACACCACTTTGTTGACGGCCCTCCGGGCCGGGGTGGTCCGGGCCAGGTGGCCGCCGCCGCCGCCCCCGCCCCCCGCCCTGCCGCCCCCGCCTCCTCGCCCCCCCCGGCCCGGGGCGCTGGTGCTGGGGGGGGCCGGCGGCGGCGGCTTCCTTCGGCTGCTGCTGCTGCCGCCCCCCCTGGGCGAGCTCAGCCGCGTCTTGGGCGCCACCTCAGCCTGGGCGGCGGCCCACCTGCCTCGGCTGCTGCCGCGGTGCCGCGAGCGGAGCCCCCCGATGGGTCCAGACGTGGGCGGCGGCGGCGGCGGCGGCGGGGCCGGGGCGCAGCGCTCCGCAGCCGGAGCTGCGGGCTGCTTGGGCGGCCTGCCCCGCCGGCCCCTCATGTCGGAGCCGAGGCGGGGGGGAGAAGGGAAAGCGAAGGGGGAGGGGTGGGCGGAGGGCTGGCGGTGGGGAGCGCCGAGGCCGGGTGGGGAGGCCCGCGGGGCCGGGCGGGAGGGGCCCGGCCGGCGGAAGCGGGTGGAGGGAGAAGGCTCAATCCGAATTGCTAGGGCCCCACTCCGGATCGCCTTCAGCCGCCATCTTGTTTCTTCCCTCTCGCTCGGTGACTGGGGGAACCGACAGCGGCCGCAGGCCCGGAGCGTGGTCACGTGAGTTGCGCCGCCGACGAGCCTGGGACGGAGCGAGGCCGCGCGGCGGCCGCTAGGGGGAGCGCGGGAGCGCTGGGTCCTGGGGGCGGGGAGCCCGGGGCGCCTCTAAGCTACGCGGCTGGACCACGCTGGTGGCGCGGAGCTGAGGGGCGCTGCTCCTCGCGAGGTGCCCGCACCAAAGCCCTCGGGAGACAGCTAATCTCGGCGGAGCCCTACTTGGCTGGGCCTCCTTCCCCGGCTCAGGGAGGAGGGCGGGGAAACCCCCAAATGTATCCCCTTCTCGCCTCCTCGAGGTAACTGATGCTGACTGAGCCAGAGAGAGTATCCTGGAGGCGGGTGGCGGCTCTAGCAACCGAGGGGACAGGGCAATGCCAGCAGTGGAAGGAAATAAACTGGAGAGGGCAGGGAGATGGGCCCCCAGAAATGTGAAACTCCAGGGGCTTGGTTCCCGAGAGTCCTGAAGTTGATCCCATTGACAGCTGCCTTTAGGTCGTACCAGGAACCACGCCCCGGGTTGCCAGACCCCCAGGGAGAGTCACTCAGACCCCTTGCATTAGAATTTTTATTCTAAAAAAACTCGTAAAAACTTCGTAACAAACTACATTGCTGTCTCCTTCCACTTTTCCCAGTATCCCAGCTGGAACTTGACAGTTTTTTCTTTGCAGCAGAAAGGGTGACTTCCAGCCTAAAACCTACTTCAAAATGTATGTTTGTGGTATCAGGAAATCATTTTAATTTCTTTACTTGGCACGTCATCAAGTCTCGACTGAGCCCAGGGAAGGAATCAAGACTATGATATTTTAGGCATCCCCACACCAAACCAGGGGGACTTGGCTCGCAGTGCTCCAGGTCAACTCTAAGAATAAGAGAAAGGACTTATAAAAATATTAATATTTATTGAAATGTGTGGGCACCAAAAAGTGATTTAAAGAAATATACGTACCAGGATTCTGTCCACTGAGTGGATTATCACAATCTAGTTACAAGGATAGAGCGCATAGGTGAAATGAAAATGTAAAATACAAGCATTAATTGCAATAAATTAGTTTATTCAGTATGAACTGGTGAAGCACCAGGGGTGACAAACGTGCCTTAAGGGACCGGTTAAATAATGAAAGTAAATAAAGTGGGCAAGGTGAGGACTTTGTCAAATGGAAGTGCCTGTGTTTTGTTTAAAGAGGGTAGCTGTGGCAATGTGGGCCTAGAATGGCTAGAGCTTGAAGTTTTTTAAGAGAAGATGGACATGTGCATTGCATATGAAATCTCATGATTTTTAAATGTTGGCAATGAAGTAAGTCAATTTTTTAAAAAAACCTTCAGCCCTGGCTGGTGTGGCTTAGTGGACTGAGCACCGACCTGCAAACCAAAGGGTCGCTGTCAGTTCAATTCCCAGTCAGAGCACATGCCTGGATTGTGGGCCGGTCCCTAGTTGGAGGTGTGTGAGAGGCAACATCAGTGTTCTCTCTCATTCCCTTCCTTCCCACCTAAAAATAAATAAATAAAACCTTAAAATTAAATAAATAAAATCTTAAAAATAAATAAATAAAATCTTAAAAATAAAACCCACTTCAGCCCTGTGTGGTGTAGCTCAGTGGATTGAATGCAGGCCTGAGAACCAAAGCATCGCCAGTTTGATTCCCAGTCAGGGCACATGCCCCCGTTGCAGGCCAGGTCCCCAGTATGGGGTGTGCTAGAGGCAACCATACATTGATGTTTCACTCCCTCTCTCTCTCCCTTCCTTCCCCATCTCTCTAAAACTAAATAAAATCTTTTTAAAAAACCCACTTCATTTTGATTAAAGTAATGCAGTTTATATATCGCCCAGAATTTACAAGTTTGCGACCTATGTCCTGCACTGTGTAAAGTACAGTCACATATACTACAGGAAAAAATAACCAAAATGGCGACAGCCTTTAGAGTTCATAAGCTATCTGCAGAGGGAGGCAATCTACCCAACAAATTTCAATAGATGGCACAACAAGAGGTATTTTTGGATTCTTGGTGGTTTCAATTGCAAGCTATGGAAACTGGCTGGCTCATTTAAACAGAAAAGAAACTCATAAGAAATATATGGACACCTCCAGAAGCGCTGGTCCTAAGTGTAAATGGAACCCAAGCTCTCGCACTGCTGTCTTCCAGCTGGCTCATGAGCTGCGTATCCCACAGGCCATTCCACTGTGTTAAAGCCAGTTGCTTCTGGTTATTGGGGTCCACGATAGATCTAGTGCATATGACCTAAAGACAGCCAGTTTCTTACTTTCACTAAAGTTAGTCCCTTGATCAGATGCTGTTATGGACTGAATGGGTCCCCCACCCCAAATTCCCACTTGAAATGGCTGCACACCCAATGTGATGGTACTAGGAGGTAAGGCCTTTGGGAAATACTTAGGATTAGATGAGGTGGTGAGGGCGAGGCCTAATCTCAACAAATGGGATTAGTTTCCTTGTAAGAGTACAAGAGCCCTTGCTTTCCAGTTGCTCTCAGCCATGTGAGGACACAGTAAGAAGTCAGCAGTCTGCAACCAGAACCCAACCACACCAGCACCCTGATCTCAGACTTGCAGCTTCCACAACTGTAGGAAATAAATTCCTATTGTTTAAAAGACACCCAATCTGTGGTAATTTGTTATAGCAACTAAATTTCTGTTAAAAGCTACCCAGGCTTTGGCAATTTGTTACAGCAGCCTGAACTGGCTAAGGCAGATGCCAGCCACAATGTGTAAGACACCAGGATGGCAAATAAAATATTCAGTAAACCCATGTAAGATGATGATAAAAGCATGGCTGGTGGCAAAAGCCATCCAAATTCAATATAAACTGATCCCACACACCTAGGTCATAGATCAGCCTCCCGTACAAATGGGCTCCGTGTCCTAGTGCTCCCATTCCTGCCACCCATGGTCAAGTGTTGAGGCCCACGAGGGGTCTCCTTGGAGGTTTCCATTAGTCCACAAGCGGGCACATGGCAGCTATCCCCTCCAGCAGCTTACCCGCCTGTGGCTACCCACCACTACGACCAGTGCCACCTAGGCTCCACTTCAAGTAATAGCTCCTGCAGAAGTGCCGAGTACCCTGGGGAAGTCATCCCCACCACCCTGGTCTCCTCAAAGCTGACTCAGGTCACTGGTGAGTGAGCTGCTTTTTTCAGGAAGTCCACGCTCTTGTTCATAGCCACAGTGATAGAATCCCCAGAGCATTCAAAAGGCCTCCAGCAGCACGGCCACCTGTGACCTGACTCGAGAAGCTGTGAAGAACCCACCTGGCAGGCAGCCCAACAACGTCAACACTGGGCACCTGATCTTGAGTGGCCACCACCAGCCACCAGGCTCCCAGAGGTGCTAGGCTCTTTTGAGTCCCCCACCTCCAATCCCTCCTCTACCCCTTTCCCCCTCCTCACCCCACCCCATAGATTAGGCAGCCTGCGGCAAGCAGAAGCAGTTGGGTTCTTTTATATCAAAAGAGCAAAACACCAAAAAAGGAAGTTGAGAGCGCCCCACTCTTTACTACCCAAGCCGCACTCACTCAAGCCTTCCTGACATCCCATAACCCAAGTGGGAAATAAAGACAAGCAGCCAGGAAAAAAATCAGTATAAACTTCCCGATGTGATTGACTCACTGTACCCACCACCACACCACAGTAGGCGGAATCCATTATAATGATTAATTCTAAAATAGGCACTCAGTAGTGGCAATAGCCAGGTAAGCCTCACCAAGAAGCCCAGATGAGCTTGCGACCCCCATAAGTAGGCACTGGCTTGACTAGGAAAAGAATTTACCCTACATCCCTAGGGTGGATCCTTTCTTTCATTTCTTTTTTTTTTTTTTTTTAAGAATTTGTATGAAAACAAAAGACACTGAAATAGAGAATAGGGGGACAGTGACCAGAGGGGAGAGGGGAGGGAATTTAAGGGGAAAAAAGGGGAGGGATTTGGAGGAACAAGTAGAAGGACACAAGGACAAGAATTAAGGGGGGTGGAAATGGGAGGGAGGTGGGGAGCACAGGGCGGGTTGGGTTGGGATGAGAGAAATAGACAGAAAACTACTTGAAAAATAAGTAAATAAAATTTAAAAAAAAAAGAATTTGTGCCCTGGCTGGTGTAGCTCAGGGAATTGAGCACGGGTCTGCGAACCAAAAGATTGAGGTTCGATTCCTCGTCAGGTCACATGCCTGGGTTGTGGGCCAGTTCCCAGCAAGGGCTGCACTAGAAGCAACCATACGTTGCTATTTCGCTCCTTTTCTCCTCCCCTTCCCTTCTAAAGATAAATAAATTAAATTTAAAAAAGAACAATAAAAAGAACTTGTTTATTCATTTTTAGAAGAGAAGGGAGAGAGAAACATCCATGTGTGGTTGCCTCTCACACTTCCCCTGAAGGGGAATCAAAACCCAGACATGTGCCCTGATAGGGAATCAAACCAGCAACTTTTTGGTTCATAGGCAGGCACTCAGTCCACTGAACCACATCAGCCAGAGCATCATTTCTTTTTCCTTTCCTCTTTCCCTTCCTTTCTTTCTTTCTTTCTTTCTTTCTTTCTTTCTTTCTTTCTTTCTTTCTTTCTTTCTTTCTTTCTTTCTTTCTTTCTTTCTTTCTTCTTTCCCTTCCTTCCTTCCTTCCTTCCTTCCTTCCTTCCTTCCTTCCTTCCTTCCTTCCTTCCTTTCAGAGAGAGACAGAGAGAAACACTGATTTGTTGTTGCTCTTATTTATGCATTCATTGATTGATTCTTGTATGTCCATGACAGGGAATCAAACCCGCAATCTTAGTGTAATAGGACAATGCTCTGACCCACTGAGCTACCTGGCCAAGGCAGAGTGGGTCTTCTTGTCCACTAATGTATTAAAGCTTCTTTAGCAGTGGAGAAATTTTGATAAATGTTCATGCAGAACACAAATACTCTCTAGGTCTGTTCAGAGACATTCATCTATGTCCTCTCTCCCAAACCTCCTTTTCACCAATATATGTCCTTGTCCACCTGGCTC